TGGGTGCTGGCTTAGTCTGGTCTTCCTCTTTCCTCCTCCAGGCAGGCGCCTGTGTCCTGGCGCCTCCCCTCTGCAGACTTTGTTTGCCATGTCACAATATGGCCAAGCTGGCTTTAGCCGGGAGGATCGGCTTGAGCAGGCCAAACTCTTCTGCCGGACACTTGAGGACATCCTGGCAGATGCCCCTGAGTCTCAGAACAACTGCCGCCTCATTGTCTATCAAGGTGAGGGGTTGATGGAGTGAGGGATTGATAGGGTGAGGGGTTGACAGGGTGAGGGGTTGATAGAGTGAGGGGTTGATGGGGTGAGGGGTTGATAGGGTGAGGGGTTGATGGAGTGAGGGGTTGATAGGGTGAGAGGTTGATAGGGTGAGGGATTGAGAGGGTGAGGGGTTGATGGGGTGAGGGGTTGATGGAGTGAGGGATTGATAGGGTGAGGGGTTGACAGGGTGAGGGATTGATAGGGTGAGGGGTTGATAGAGTAAGGGGTTGATAGGGTGAGGGGTTGATAGAGTGAGGGGTTGATGGAATGAGGGGTTGATAGGGTGAGGGGTTGATGGAGTGAAGGGTTGATAGGGTGAGGGATTGATAGGGTGAGGGGTTGATGGAGTGAGGGCTTGATGGGATGAGGGGTTGATAGGGTGAGGGGTTGATGGGGTGAGGGGTTGATGGGGTGAGGGGTTGATAGGGTGAGGGGTTGATGGGGTGAGGGGTTGATGGGGTGAGGGGTTGATAGGGTGAGGGGTTGATAGGGTGAGGGCTTGATGGGATGAGGGGTTGATGGAGTGAAGGGTTGATGGGGTGAGGGGTTGATGGGGTGAGGGGTTGATAGGGTGAAGGGTTGATGGGGTGAGGGGTTGATAGGGTGAGGGGTTGATGGGGTGAGGGGTTGATGGGGTGAGGGATTGATAGGGTGAGGGGTTGATGGAGTGAGGGCTTGATGGGACGAGGGGTTGATAGGGTGAGGAGTTGATAGGCTGGAGGGCAGTGGGACTCAGGGGTCCCAGGGTCTTCCAAAGAGTCAGAAGGCGCTATGGCAGCACGACACCCTGGGTCTGTCCTTCCTTCCCTGGGAGAAGCCCCCCTTTTCTCAGCATACCAGAATGCTTTTTTAAGTGTTTGACTGTAGTCCCTCCGTGAAGCCTGAAGAGGTGAGTTCTAATGGCCTGTCACTTTATCTAGGATTTCAGAGGAAAGAGAAGAGTCCCAGGCCGGTATGCACCGGGCACAGGAGGCTGGTGCTGCAGCCTCGGCTCTGCTGCTCCCTCACTGTGTGACCTCAGGCAGGTTTCTGCTCCTCTCTGAGCATCAGCTCTAAAAGTGAGAGGGTGGAATTTCATTCTCCCGGAAACCACTTGTAGCTCTAGGATTCCATGAAACTCTAGCCCCAGTGGCTGGGGTACAGGGTGGGTAGGAAGAGCGGGTAGGGAGGGTTAGGGGATCTTCCCAGCAAGTCTTCTAGACGTGTTCAAGTGGGAATGTGTAAACTCCTCACTCCACTCTCCACCATCTCCCTGTTTCAGAACCTGCAGATGGAAGCAGCTTCTTGCTGTCCCAGGAGGTTCTCCGGCATCTGCGGCAGGAGGAAGAGGAGGAAGTTACTGTGGGCAGCTTGAAGACCACAGAGGTGCCCAGTACCTCCACGATGTCCCAAGAGCCTGAGCTTCTCATCAGTGGAATGGAAAAGCCCCTCCCTCTCCGCTCGGATCTCTTCTGAGACCCAAGTTCACTCTGCCTGAGCCTCCGGTGGTCTCCAAAGCTCTGGACTGGGGGCTTTCTTCAGTGGCTGAATGTCCAGCAGAGCCATTTCCTCCCACAGGGGCCTTGCAGGGAAGGGCCCAGGACTTGACATGTCGAGATGAGTCCTGTCCCCTTGGGCCAGTCGTTTCCCCTCTCTGAGCCTCAGTGGTTTCAGCCTATGAAAGGGATCATAATCACTGCCCTCACGGTTGTAGTGAGAACTGAGTGTGTGGAAGTTTCTCGTAAGCTCTGGATGCTAGGTGCTTAAGCCATGTGCCACGTGTCTTTCATTGGGCCTTCCAGACCTACTCCCCACCCTTCTCCCCTTCCTCTGCTCTGGTATACCAAACTCTCTCGATGGTATCAACAGGCTCCCTTGCCCTCTGGCTCGTGGTCATGTTTCATTACTGGGGACCCCCAGCGAGAGAATGGAGGGGAGGAGGCTGAATTTGGGGTAGTGAATCCTCCTGCTCCCACCCTGCAGCATGAAGGTTGCTGTGGGCTCTCCTGCCGGGCAACCCTTGCATAACCAAGACTGTCTCTAAGGTTCTGGAACTGCTTCCTCCCCTGGCCCCTTAGTCTAGCTGTGTATAGGCCCCACCCCCACCCCACTAGAGTCCTCCCTCTCACCTTTGGTGTCCTGACACTCCACCCTTTCTCAATGATCCCTTTTTAAAGCACGGCTCAGATTACCCAATGTGAGTGTCATCTTTTTCCTGCTGGACTCCGACTGATATAACAGATGGGATTTACTGTCCCTGATGCCCCAAACCTGCCTGCACATGCATGCTTCCCTGCACCCCTCCTCATCCTAGTACAGGCCAGCAGGGGGACTGGGTATCATTTCCCATCTGGACGGAGCCTATCCATTGTGCTGAGGGCACCTATCCTTTCAGTGCCCTTGTCTCCAGTGAGAGGCTTGGGGAGCAAGGACCACACACAGGCTTGGCCTGAGCCAGCACACAGATGATGCCATGAAGGGTACACAGCTGTGTCCTGGGCAAGGGGCCACTCAAAGGAGCAGGGGTCACTAACTGTACGTGCCAGATGAGTGAGCCTGCAAAGGGACAAGGGAGAAAGAGTTTGTGTGATGAGATGGGACAGTTCCTGGAGGGCCTTGGACAGCACAGCCAGCTGCCATGCTGTACCTTTTGTACCTTTCGCCATCATGGTCACAACTGAGCCACCGTGACAACGCTGTGGAGGCACAGCTGCCTCCATCTGGGAGGGAAGGCAGCTCATCTCTGCTAGTTCCATTTGTCCCACCAGTCTGGGCTCGTTCCCTCCCACTTTTTTTTTTTTTTTTTGATCATAAATGCTCAGTATACATTTCTGAGTACAGCATCGCTGGGGAGAAATGCTCCACACAGACACACACTGGTCAGAAGGAACCGGCTCCCCCTAAGGACGACAGAGCCAAGGGGGTCAAGCGGGAACAGTCCCCACTCTCCTGAAATATCCCAGCCACCCTGTCCCCAAGGCCTGAGAATCCTCCATCATCACAACAGTGGCTCGTATACCAGAAACCAGCCCAGAATCAAAGGTCTTTCCAATCCATCCAGTCCCTAGCATAGGGCTTAGGCTGTGGAGTTTAATGACCCCAGGTTCAAAGTCCTGACTTCACCACTTAGCACCTGTGTCTACCTAGGTGTCTTGATAAACAAGCCTCAGTTTCCCCAAGTGTAAAACAGGGAGAGCAGCCGCCCCTCCCCTGGAGGTTGTTTCGAGGAGCGAATGGTATCATATTTGTAGGTCCTGCCCCTGTCCAACAAGGGGCAGCTATTGACATTTTAGCTGCCTCTCCCCAGTCCCAAAGGAGGCGAGCCTGTCCGCTGCACACACTGCAGTCTCCACCTCTGTTCCTTTTTATCTTCTGTTATTTCCCAGCCAATGCCCCCAGGGGTTCCCCAGGGTAAAGTACCAGAGGTCCTGCCATAAATGACTGTCTGCATGCTCTGGACTGCAGATGAGTGAGATTCAGAGGTGCTGGGGAAGGCAGTGCCACCAGGAGGCATGAGCCACCAGGAGGCCCAGTTTTGTCTTCCTGGCCTCTGGCCGCATCTTCCTGAGCCCCTGCTGACTAGACCCAGGCCCTCCCCCTGCTGGTAGTGGTCCCCACCCCACTCCTTCCTTCCCCAAACAAGTTCCATGGAGCTCCTTTTTCCTTTCCTGTTTTTTCATCAGCTGGAAAGATCTGGGACATGTCCTGTGGTACATTCTAGGCTTTTCCAACAGGCCCAGGCACACAGAAAGTGGAAGGCAGGCCGGGCTCGGTGGCTCAAGCCTGTAATCCCAGCACTTTGGGAGGCCGAGGCGGGTGGATCACGAGGTCAAGAGATCGAGACCATCCTGGTCAACATGGTGAAACCCCGTCTCTACTAAAAATACAAAACATTAGCTGGGCGTGGTGGCACGTGCCTGTAGTCCCAGCTACTCAGGAGGCCGAGGCAGGAGAATTGCCTGAACCCAGGGGGCGGAGGTTGCGGTGAGCCGAGATCGCGCCATTGCACTCCAGCCTGGGTAACAAGAGTGAAACTCCGTCTCAAAATAAAAAAAAAAAAAAAGAAAGTGGAAGGCAATGAGAGCCTCCTAAACTCCCCGCATCCCTTCTGGGGAGGCAAGACAGAGTCGGGGGGTGCCTTTGAAAGCCAGTCTTTGAACTATAAATTGTGCTTGGGCTTACAAGGACTTTGGAGCTTGTCAACAAGGTCTGGGCTCCGACAGCTGAAGGATGGCCCCTGACCGACGGAGGATAGGCATTCATCATTTCCCTGAGCCCAGGGAGTCTCAGGCAAGGTGGACCCCAGCTTCCCTGCCTGGGCTCTCCCTGGCTGGCCTTTGTAGGATCAGGGCCTCTCCACGGGACCTCTGGCATTCCTGCTTGGGGGTGCTGGTGGAACCTCCCAAGCTGGATTCACGTTACAACGAAAGGGAAGGAGACTAGGGGTTCGGTGAAGGGGCAGGGACTCAGAAAAGGAGATTCAGGGGTCTGGTGGCCCCTGAAGAGGGAGTGACCTTTGAGGTGGCCTCGGGCCCTGGGAAGGCCCCCAGCAGCATGTGTCTGGGCAGGGCCCTCGAGCTTCTTTGATGTCTCCTGCCCACCACAGGGCTTTCTCTATAAATGTTCTGAGACAGCAGCTCCAGCTGAGTCCAGTGTGCCCTTCTGACGCTCTGATGCCCAGGCTCCAATTTGTTGTTGCCCTATTTCTCTGTCTGGTTTCTTGTTTTGAGCTAGGTCAGGCTAACCTTCCAGTCTCGCTGCTACAGATGTGTGACTTCATCGATGCTGGGCCTGGGTCCATCTGGCGCAGGGCAGGAGCCAGGGACAAGAGGGCCCTGCGGTGCTTCTTCAGGACTGTCTTGGGGGTCCAGCACCCGCCAGTGGATGAGGTAGATGCCATCCTCTGGCTTTGGGGATGGTGGCTCTGTAGGGAGTGTGGCATGGCCCTGGTGCAGCCTTGGCCCAAAGTGGACTGCCACCACGATGCAGACTGCCAGCAGAACAAAGATAGTGACGATGACGGTGACTATGTGCAGCCCATCACCTCGAGGTGGTTCCCAGGTGCCACCTAGCACCTCCGGAAGCTGCCTCTGGGGCTCCTGCCCCCATGAACTGTTCACAGCTGGAGAAGGCCAGGAGTAGTGGCCAGCCTGGGAGGGGAGTGGCAGAGAGAGAGGGTGACATGGATGTATACACACAGAAAATGACCAAAATAGAGACAAATACCCAAAGGAACCTGAGGTGGGGGGTGGGGCAAGGGACCAGAGACAAAGGCAGAAAGACAAAAAGTCAGAGTAAAGACCTAGAAAGAGACAGATAATACAGAGGTAAACCACATAGCAACAGAGACCATAAAAGAAAAAGGCAGCCTGAGCACGGTGGCTCACACCTGTAATCCCAGCACATTGGGAGGCCAAGGCAGGCAGATCACCTGAGGTCAGGAATTCAAGACCAGCCTGAGCAACATGGAGAAACCCTGTCTCTACTAAAAAATACAAAATTAGTCGGGCATGGTGGCACATGCCTGTAATCCCAGCTACTTGGGAGGCTGAGGCAGGAGAATCGCTTGAACCCAGGATGCAGAAGTTGCAGTGAGCTGAGATCACACCATTGTACTTCAGCCTGGGTAACAAGAGCAAAACTCCATCTCAAGAAAAAAAAATGAAAAAGAAAAAGGCAGAAAAGGCAGAGGGGGATACAGAGAGGGAGAAAGAAGAAAAGGGAAAGAAAAAGATACATAAAAACAGGGACAGAAAGATAGAGAAAAAAGAAACAGACGCAGGAAGACAAAGTCATTCGGATAGGGACAAAGTGCTGGCTTCATCACAGTCCAGCATAGAGAGTTTGGCCCCCACAAGTTTCTTCCCACTGTTGCCTCTTCCCAGGTCTCCAGCAAAATTCCTCAATAGATCCTGTGCCCTGGGTCGGGAGTCTTGGCATGCTATGGGCTGCTGTCCCCACATCCTGGGCAGTAGCGAGAGAGTACCTGCTGCCTAAAGTCCTGGGAAAAGGAGGTCCTTGTCCAGCATCTTAGGCTCCCCTTACTCCCCACTTGCACAGAAGTCAGACAGACAGCACCCTGGCCAGGGGAGAGGTAGAGGGGACATGAATCTTAGAAGCTTGGAGTGAGACAGGGGGATGTCTCTCCTATAACTGTGTGCCCGCCACCCCGCTGAGGTCTCAGCATCAGGTTTTGGGGTCCTGGAGGGGAGGGGGTGCCCAGTGTGGACTCCTGGCTCTGCTCAGGATGGACTGAGGAGACCTGTGCCAGTCTTCCTCTGTCAAAGTCTCAGTGTTCCACCAAAAGCTGGAGGTCATGATCTGTACCCCTGTCTGTCTCCACCCTGCTGGGTGTTAGATAAGGGTGGTGGCACTGTAGTGAAGGTGGCAAAACACAAAACTGTAAGCCCTAGAGTTGATGAGGTCCTCACAGGCCCAAAACCTTTTCCTCCTTAGCTTCCCCTTCCCAGATGGGCCACCCAGGAGCAGATCTTAGAGGGTGAAGCCCATCCCTCTAACCCTGCACCCTCAGCGTGGCCCCACCCATGGTAGGCCAGGAAAGGCTGCCCAAGACAAACCCATTTCCTTTAGTCCCTAGTCCCACTGTCCAAGCCATCCCATCTCCCACACGCATCCCTTTGCCTGTGGAAAGACACCCCCCCCAACTCCCTACCTTGCAAGTATCTTTGGGTCCCAGGCCACAAAGCTCCCAGGGCAGGGGGTGGGGAAGCAGCTCTAGATGTACAGAGGAAAAGGGGAAGCTCAGGCGGGTGACAGACATGGGGCCCCTCACAGGGAGTCAGCCCAGCCTGGCAGGAAGGGGCAAGCAGAGTCTACCTGGTGCATTGTCCGGGCCGGCACAGGGCTCCCTTTGAGACTGGTGGCCAGCTGGGAAAAGGAGGGCTGGCCGCCCTAGAACAGCCCCTACCCGGAGCTGCCACGTCTGCGGGGCCCACAGGCACACACCCTGTGCACACACTCTTACCGCCCTCTCCTTCGCTTGCACTTCCTTCCGGGAACATCTGGGCTACCCTGGGCTCTGCCCTTAACTCTGAGTACCTTAATCTTCCTCCTTGGCACCTCCTTTCATGCCCCCTGCCAGCTTCAGGAGCCTGGGTGTGCCTGCCCGCCCTTCTTCCACCAGATCCCAGAAGCCTGGCCAGCACCCCAACCCAACCTGCCCCCAACCAAGTCATGCTGGCTCCTCGCCCCAACCGATTTCCTGGAGTTACTGTCCTTTGATCTTTTCTTTCTAAATGAAATAGTTCAGACACAATGGAAACTGCAGATAATACACTCTCTCTTTAATAAATACATAATACAACTCTAAATCTCCAAGTCTCAGCCATGAGCTCTGTCTTCTCTCAATAGTTTGTCACATTTATTTTTAAAATGTTAACATTACAATTAAAACAGAAGTCCTCACTTCCTGACCTCGCCTCTCCTTCTCACCACAGGGATAACCATCTTATAGAATTCCATGTTTAATGGCCGGGTGTGGTGGCCCACGCCTGTAATTCCCATACTTTGGGAGGCCAAGGCAGGAGGATCACTTGAGGCTAGGAGTTTAAAACCAGTCTTGGCAACATAATAAGGTCTCTTGTAGAGACCTTATCTCTACAAATAATTTTTAAAAATTAGCTGGGTGTGGTGGTGTATACCCGCAGTCTCAGCTACTCGGGAGGCTGAGGTGGGAGGATCACTGGGCACAGAAGGTCAGAGACCATGAGCCATGTTTGTGTCACTACATTCCGGCCTGTGCAACAGAGGGAGACTCCATCTCAAAAAAATAACAATAGAATTTGATGTTTCTTATTCTCACACAAGGTTTTGTTTTCCCTTTTTTCCTTTTGGTTTTTATAAATACAGATTCTATATTTCTTTGCATTTGCCTGAATGCAACTTCATTTGAGAGCATGTATGTGTTTTAATGTCCAAGTCACAAAAACTGCCCACCAATCTCTCCTCTCTCTAGAGACAGTTACTTTTTTGGCTCCAGCTAACTCTGTGGGACCAGCCTTTTCTCATTCTGTCTGTTGCTGTGCACTCACCATCCTCTCTTCCAGTCTGGAGAGCGGGAGACGCCCTGGGAACTCCCCTGCGTTAGAATCTTGATCCAGGGTGAAGCAGAATGCAGCCTCCTGGTTCCTTGTCTCTCAGCCGAGCTGTCCCACATCCTGACATCCAAGCCCCCCACGCAGACCTCCAAGTTCACATTGAGCCCAGATCCCCGGGCTGCTGACCTGATCTGCAAACTAAGTGGGACCTGTTGCTGGCTGACCTTGAAGGCCCTGGCTGACCCCCTCCCAGTGTGATCAGAGGCACTGCTCATTCTCTGCTTCTCACCTTGGTCCATTTAGACTTCAGCCAGAGGGAATCTGGACTCTGCCACAGGTCCTGAACTTCAGCCACCGCTGTTCACCTCCTGCCTCCTCAAGACACATGTGCCATTGCTCTGGCAGATACCTCCACTGGGGCTCCTGTCCCTGGGTCCAAAAGCCCAATGTTTGATTCTTCTGATGACTACTTCTTCCCTTTCCCTCCCTCATTCATCCTGGATCTATTGCCTAAAGGGTTTCCAAGAGGAAGATGGTGGAACTTCTCCATCTTCTGTGTCACTTCACTACTGCTGTGAGCTGCCCGCCTATTCCCGCCATCTAAACCTTAACCATCTGTTAACAGCTTAGGTCAAGTGTGGCCTCCTCTAGGTATGAATTCTTCAGCCCTGTACTTGAGAAACTTTCTTTTCCTTAAGCCTTACAGTGTAATGTTTCTTACCGCCTCCTAACATTTGTCACACTTTGTCTTATGTTATCGGTGTGTGGCAGCTCATTTTTCCAGGAACCCTGTCTCTCTCTCTCTCTCTCTCTCTTTTTTGAGACTGAGTCTCGTTCTGCTGCCCAGGCTGGAGTGCATAGGCACAATCTTGGCTCACTACAACCTCCATCTGCTGAGTTCAAGCGATTCCAGGAACCATGTCTCATTCTTTGAGAACCACGGGGGTTTCTTGACAACAAAAGTTTTCTGATAGAAGTGGAACCTAGAGGAATGTACCCCTTCCCCACCCCACAACACAAACATATCTGTTCTTAATCCTGGAGGCTTAGAGCAAGCAGAATGCCCTTCTCCTGTGGGAGGACACTTCTGAGCCATGACCGAATGCTCACTGCTTTGCTCCCACTGTCTCTTTCTGGATTTTGTTGTCACAGAGCCTCTTAGGGTGGGTGGAGGGGGCTACAATGATCAAGAATCTGCCCTTATTTCATAGAGAACAAATGCCCTGACTTTTGAGACTCAAGTGCTGGAACCAAAAATGAAGACCCTGGGGTCCTCCCTACCATCACCGTGCTGGGCTGGAGGTCCCTGACCCAGCTCCATACACTAGGGTCACTTTTCCTTTCCATCTCTCCGGGGAGGGTAGAAGTGGCTTTGCTGGCCAATGGAAGGCAAAGAGCAACCCTTCTTTCACTCTATTGCCACCAAAGGCAGGCATACTGAGGAGTCTGCAGAGGGAGGTGAAGGACAGGGGCCTGTGGAGACATCCTGAGCAGGCCAGAGTGGGGTTGCCATGATAGACTCAGGGCAGGTCTGATAACTGGCTGACTTTTGAGGTCATTGGGAACTCTGGGCCAGAGTTGGTTAAGTAAGCCAGGAGCAAAGGCTGCTTTCCTCTACCACGCCCCACTTCTAGCCTTGTAAAAAGCTATAGGTCTATAAGGGGTGTGAGGTGTCTTTTTAGGATAATTGGACATGTTATATAAAATCGATTTTATTTGGGATAGGTAAACAACTCTCTGAATATATAAAAACCACTGAGGCTGGCATGGTGACTCACGCCTGTAATCCCAGCACTTTGGGAGGCCCAGGTGGGTGGATCATTTGAGGTCAGGAGTTCAAGACCAGCCTGGCCAACATGGTGAAACCCTGTCTCTACTAAAGATACAAAAATTAGCCAGGATTGGCAATGTGTCTCTGTGATCCCAGCTACTCAGGAGGCTGAGGCAGGAGAATGGCTTGAACCCAGGACGGGGAGGTTGCAGTGAGCCGAGACTGTGCCACTGCACTCCAGCACGGGATACAGAGGAGACTGTCAAAAAAAAAAAAAAAAAAAAAGGCCACTGAGGCCACTGAATTGTGCACTTCAAATGAGGAAGGGTGAAAGGGTGAGGAAGGCATCTCCATGGTGGGGAAGGAATGGGAGCAGAAATGGGAGCTTGATTACTGCAGGGAGTGATCCAGTAAGTCAATATTTAAGGATCATGGAAGCCAGAGAAGGGCTTTAGACACACTACATCCTAGCACCAAAGAGCACACTGACAACTCAGATCTTGGTTTCTTTTCTTTAAAAAAAAAATTTTTTTGAGACAGAGTTTCACTCTGTGGCCCAGGCTGGAGTGCAGTGGCATGATCTTGGCTCATTGCAGCCTCGACCTCCCAGTATCACTCAAGCCTCCTGAGTAGTTGGGACTACAGGCACACCCCACCATGCCAGGGTAATTTAAACTTTTTTTTTTTTTTTTTTTGCACAGACAATATCTCACTATGTTGCCCAGGCTGGTCTCAAACTCCTGAGCTAAAGTTCTCTTGCCTAGGCCTCCCAAAGTGTTGGGATTGCAGGCATGAGCCGCCGTGCCTGGCCCTCAGTTTCCAAATACCATTTGCACCAAAAGGAATGAAGGCTCCTTAAAGAAATAAGCTGATTCCAGGGCTGGGGCAGGTGAAGCACAAGATGTGCCTGGAGGCCAGGCACGGTGGCTCACACCTGTAATCCCAGCACTTCAGGAGGCCAAGGTGGGTGGATCACTTGACGTCAAGAATTCGAGACCAGCCTGGGCAACATGGTGAAACTCCATCACTACTAAAAATACAAAAGTTAGCCCCACTTGGTGGTATGTGCCTGCAACCCCAGCTACTCAGGAGGCTGAGGCAGGAGAAGGTAGGAGAATCATTTGAACATGGGAGGAGGAGACTGCAGTGAGCTGAGATCACGACACTTCACTCCAGCAGGGTAGTGACAGAGTGAGACTGTCTCAAAAAAAAAAAAAAAAAAAAGAAAGAAAAAAGAAAAAAAAAAGAAAAAGAAAGAAAGAAAGAAAAAGAAAAAGTAAGCCTGGAATATCTTATGCCAGAAAGTAAGGAAGTAGTCAAAAAATGATGAAGACATGTCAAAAGGACACAGAGGTCAGGTTGGTGGGGCTAAGAGTGGCCCAAATGTGGACAATTTGAGCATCAGAACAATAAATGATTGTATTCCAACCCAGTGAATAAAACAGAAATACATGAGTTTATATAAAGATATAGAAACTATCTCCTCAAGGGCTGGGTGTGGTGGCTTACACCTGTAATCCCAGCACTTTGGGAGGCCAAAGCGGGCGGAACACCTAAGGTCAGGAGTTCAAGACCAGCCTGGCCAACATGGTGAAACCTCGTTTCTACAAAAATACAAAAACTAGCTGGGCATGATGGCGGGTGCCTATAATCCTAGCTACTTCGGAGGCTGTGGCAGGAGAATTGCTTGAGCCTAGGAGATGGAGGTTGCAGTGAGCTGAGATTGCACCACTGCACTCCAGCCTGGGTGACAGAGCAAGACTCAGTGTCAAAAAAAAAAAAAAAAAAGCCGGGCGCGGTGGCTCAAGCCTGTAATCCCAGCACTTTGGGAGGCTGAGGTGGGTGGATCACGAGGTCGAGAGTTCGAGACCATCCTGGTTGACATGGTGAAACCCCATCTCTACTAAAAATACAAAAAATCAGCTGGGCATGGTGGCGTGTGCCTGTAATCCCAGCTACTCAGGAGGCTGAGGCAGGAGAATTGCCTGAACCCAGGAGGCGGAGGTTGCAGTGAGCCGAGATCGC